TATTATATTTTTAAAAATTGTCATCATGTAGATGTATTTCCATACCCTTATATTCATTCTATATGATAATATAAAACAAAACAATAAAAAAATTCTTCTGTTTTTACGATTATAAATGACCAGTCATTTTGACTGGTCTTGGTAGAAGTAGCATTGTTTTTTTTCCGGTAGTTCTTGTGTTAACTAAATTGTACCTATCTCTCATACCAACTGAATAGACTATCCTTTTTTTTTGTTTGCTTTTCTTCGTCTCTTCTTCTCTTATTCTAGTCAAGTATCCATGATCAAAGAACTCCCGCCAAAAAGTTTTCCATGGAATTCATTCTACCAAAGTTTCCTTTCCTTTCCTTTTTGACTCTCTTTCTTTCTCTTACGAACGAGATAAAAGAAGACGAAGAAGTTCGACGAAAGAATGTGCAACGTGATTTTACCTTTGGAGCTTTATAGTTGACGGGTTCAAGCTTCGAAGAAAATTCATTTAAAGATAAAAAAAAGAGTAGATTAAAAAGAAAGAGGAAAACTGACAGATTTAAGTCCAAACTAGACGAAAGATCATTTTTAAAATGATTTAAAAGTCAAATATTTAGGTACAAATTTTATTTAACAAACAAATAAATTGAAACTGAAACTCTAATATAATATTAAATAATAATGTATCTTGAATTGTAAGAATTTTCTTAAATTAAATAACTTTTTCTTTAATTAATAGTAATAAATAATTAATTAAATTAATAAATAATAAATAAATGAATTCATTAATTTTTCTTTAAAAAAGAAAAAAAAAGAAAAATAAAAATGCGGAGCTTATAAAAAGAAATTAAATATATATTAAATAAAATTTAAAATAAATAAAAAATATCTCTTACATATATAAGGCAATAATTTTCTTAACACCGTGTATACTCGTTCCGGTTCATCTCTATTCACAGTCTAACGTTTGTTAGCGCATTGTCCTCTCTTACTTTCCCACTTTCTGCGTTTCTTTTCGCTTCTCTTTTGCCCCTCGTTTCTCTTTGTTGTCATTTTATCCACCTTCCCCCTTTTTTCCTATTCCATTACCTACCACCCTATTCTATTTTCATCATCGTCTTCTACGTCTCCTTCTTTCTCTCGTCGTTCGCGTTACGTTTTCAGTTACGATTAGTGCAAGTCAGTCCTCCCCGATTTCCATGTATTTTTGGATTCACCGAAGCAGGAACGGTTCAATGAACCCCTTCATCGTCCCCGAACTAGAACGTTCTACGACGAGAGAAAGAAAAAGAAAGAGAGAGAGAGAGAGAGTCTGCGAAGAGAATCATCGTGATTGATCGTCGTTCTAGAACCTATCCACGTTACTCTTAACGAGCATTCGATCTTATTTTTCATTTCCCCCCCCCCCACTTTTTTATTTTCTTTATTTGCCTGCTTTCGATAAATTTTTCTCTTTTCTTTTTTTCATTTCTACGATAATCGATATTTCTATGTTTATGAACAAACACCACGCGTATCTACCAATTTGAAAAGATATTTTGTATTGTTGTGCATATATGTATTGTTGTACCGATTAATCAGACAAAAATTGATATTAAATTAAAATATCGCTACAAATTATAAATAAAAGAAATGTATATTATTTACTTAGAATTTGGATTTAAAGGACACATTTCGATCTATGAATTATATATATAAGAAAACTGTTACGAATACGTGATTCGAAGAATAAGACGAAATTTCTGAACAATCTAATTTTAAAATAAAAAAATAAATTATATTATAATTAATAATGTATATATATATATATACAATAAATAAAAATATATTTAATATAATATATAAATTATATAAAAAATTCAATTATAATTTTATAAAATAAAAAAAATAAAAAATATATATATTTAACAAATAACCAATTAACTTATTCATTCTAAATAAATTCGAGGATATGACGGTGTCTGAATGAATAAATTTTGTTCAGTAAAACGTGGAAAATCAAGGTGCAGAAGAGACTTCAACATTTAAAGTGAGATCGGTATGCGGTGAGCTGGATGTTAAAGCGTTAAACAAGGACGCCTGATTTTGGACGACTGTTTACAGTGAAGCATATGTTTACGATTGTCCGCGTGAAACAGAAGCAAACACGTTCGTTGAAGTTTGGGTAGGGGAATCCATCCGGTGCGATATTCCGTCGTACGTATAACGTCGAGAATGTGCATTGAGCGTATCGTGACTTGGTCGTTCATATATGTTTAACGATAACATACCTACGTTATGTTGTTGCTGCTACTGCTGTTACTGTTGCTGCTGCTACTACTGCTGTTTCGTTTCTTTAAACAACTCTTTTTCTACCGGGGATAAAAATCAAAATAATAATAATAATGCTAATGCGCGATCTTTATTTTCTAAACGTTTTTTCCATCTGGCACACACAAGAAACGTTTTCGAAAGAATAAACATAACAAAAACAAATAAAAAAACAGAGAATATATCTTTGATCTGTTACAAAAAAGATAAAAGGAAAAAATAATTAAAAAAAAAGATAGAAGAAGTAGAAGAAGAAGAAGAAGAAGAAACATGTTTTTCTCTGCAAATAATACAATAATAATAATAATAATGATAATTCTCGATCTGTATTTTTCAAATGATTTCCATCCGGCAAGAAATGTCCCCCCTCCCCCCCCCAAAAAAAAGAGAACAGGAATATCTTTGATCAACTATGAAGAAAAGTACAAAAAAAGAAGAAAGAGAGAGAAAGAGAGAGATTCCATAAAGAACGCCATGTTTCGAAATCAAAAACACGGGAAATGAAAACGAATCGCAAAGAGAAACTTAACTTGTTTCTTGTTTTTGTAACTACCTTTTCTTTTTTTCATTTTGATCTCTATATTTTTTTTTCTCTCTCACACTCAGTTAGTATCGTATCTCTATTCGATTCCAATGAGATAGAAACGCATAGGCAACTCGCGTGTATATTATTGCCGTCGTATCGAATTAATGGGAGAACAAGTGTAATCTCGCATGTAAAGAGAGTGAGAGAGAGAGAGAAAGAGATAGATAGAGAGAGATGTTGTGATGTTGTGTTGCAGAGAGAAGGGTGTAGGTGATTTGAGAGAGAGAATGTCTGGGCTCTTGGCTGACGACGATGGTGTAGGGCCCCGACACAGAGAATAGCACAGCTTTGCTCTAAGCTGGACGTAATTCCAGGCTGAATGCTCCGGGACAAATTGACCCCATAGTTAAATGGTATAACGGGTTTCGAGTAGGTATACAACCGGATAATGGAACCAAAGGTATATACGAATGATAATATTCTGAAAACAGATCTGTACTTCTACAACAATCTGCAAGAGTCGAAATAGATCTATACCGGAAGTATAATCCTCCCTTTCATTCCGTTTCTCTCTCTCTCTTTCTCTCTCTATTTCTCTCTTTCTGTCTTTCTCGATCATTATTACTAATAGTCTTCTAAAAGCATGACATTTATGGCAGGTAGAAATGGATTACAAACAAATCATAAAATCAACGTGTATATTCTTTTGATATTATTAGTCTGTCAAAGATAGAAATAAAAGAAGGATATAAACCAATCAAATATACATTTCAACCAATAAACCCCATAGATGAGAGTATGAATATCCCAATTTCAATGTCTGAACTAACAGACGCACTCCAGCAAAAAAAGAAAAATACATCACCGGGCCCTGACAATATCCATTATGTATTCCTTAAAAACCTCCCTACTGTAGGTAAACAGTTTCTCCTTAATATATATAATTATATATGGCAACAAAATGTCTTTCCCAATCAATGGAGACATGCTTTAGTAATTCCTATACTAAAGCCAGGTAAAAAGAAAAACGTATCTGAAAACTATCGCCCCATCTCACTAACCTGTACTATGTGTAAAATCTTAGAAAAGATCATTAATAAAAGATTGAGGTGGCTCATTGAAACGAAAAAAACATTAAATCCTCACCAAAGTCTCAGAAATTTCCGTTCCACCCTAGACCACCGTAGTAATCTAGAGACAAATGTCTGTGACGCATTAATCAACAAAGAACATGTTATTATGATTAGTATAGATATTGAAAAAGCGTATGATATGGTATGGAGAGACAAAGTTATGGAAATTGTAGGTGAATTTATTGGAGGTAACATGCTACAATTTATCAAAAACTTTTTTAAAGACCGTTACATTCAAGTAAAAATAAATGGTCACCTTTTAAAAAAAGTTAAAACTGAAAACGGTATCCCACAAGATTCGATTATAAGCGTTACACTCTTCCTCCTAGAAATTAATTATATTACTAAACAAATAAATCCTCCTATCAAAAGCTTTCTATTTGTTGATGACCTCACTATTTGCTGCAAGGGCAAAAATATAAAAACTACAGCTGAACTCCTGCAAAGTGTCTTAAATAGCTTACAAGAATGGTCTAATGGTAACGGACTCAAATGCTTAAAACTCAATGCATCCTTTTTAGTAAAAGAAATAACATCAGAACACCAAAAATCACCCGAAATGACCGTGATTTAAAATTTATTGACAATATCAAAATTCTTGGACTAACCTTTGATAACAAACTCACATGGAGTAAACACATCATGAACCTCAGGAATTCATGCCTTAGAAGATGCAACATTTTAAAGGTTTTAGCAAATAAAAACTAGGGTGTAGATCAAACAGTTCTACCTAAAACATACCAGGCCCTCATTCGCTTCAAACTAGACTACGGTGCCATTATATATAATTCAGCTAGCTATACTCTATTACAATTATTAGATACCGTTCAAAATAGTGCACTAAGAATTGCAAGTGGCGCCTTCAGAACAAGCTCTATTAACAGCATTCTATACATAACCAAAGAAGTACCACTCCAGCTAAGAAGAGATTTGCTAACCCTAAGTTATGCTGCAACAATCTCATCATCTCCTGATAACCCTGTATACACTAACATCTTTAATACCCAATTTTTTGATGTTTATTATGAAAAATCTACCGTACCTATTCCATTAAAATTAAAGATACATAAATTATCAAGCAAATACAATATTGATATCCACAAAACAATACAAAGAAAACCACCAATTACCCCACTATGGACCTTAATAACTCCTACAATAAACGTTAAGCTATAAGAAGATAGAAAGGGCGAAACCTCACAGTTAGAATACAGAGCCAAATTCCACGAATTACTAGAAGAAATTAATGATTATATCCATATCTACACCGATGCATCCAAAACTGAAGGTAAATCTGGAATTGCCGTTATTTTACCAGAAAAACAAAGCAAATATAGTATATACAATTATACTAGTATTTTTACCGGAGAAGCCTACGCCATCTACTCTGCACTAGAACACATTGAAGAGTCGAACAACACAAAATTTGCCATTTTTAGTGATTCAATGAGTGTACTATCAGCCATTGGAAACAAAAAGCTAGAAAATGATATCATTAAAAATATAATAGATAAATTCACTATAATCAATTCAAAGCTTAACAAAGAAATATTAATGATCTGGCTACCAGCATATCAAGGTATTCCTGGAAACGAAAAGGCAGATAAGGCGGCCAAGGAAGCTACTAACTTACAAGGAATCGAAAACTCATTACCTCCCACACATACTGACTTAAAGAAATCTTATTTTCGAATAATCAAAACTTATTGGGAAGAACTGTGGTCCAATTCAGTTCCTGAAAAACTTCGTCCAATTGTGGACACATTCTATGAAAAGGAAAATAAACCGCCTAACTTGTGCAGGAAAGATTGTACTGTTATAAACAGACTAAAAATAGGACACACTATATACACCCATAGCTACTTATTTGATGGAATGCCTAAACCAAAATGTGAAACATGTAACGAAACCATAAGCGTTAAACACCTTTTAGTAGACTGCCCCAATTACATAAACACACGAATAAAATATCGAATTCCTTGCGATTTAAAGACGGCCCTCACCCTCACCGAACACCACAAAAATGTTATTAATTTCCTTAAAACAATCAAGATGTATGAACACATATAATATTATCGTAATATTAATTGTAATATAATTAATGTAAATATACAGAATAATTAATGTAAAATATACTGTAACTAATGTATCATGTTGCTAATAACCTAGTTGTTGATGCGACAATAAACTCATATTAATAATAATAATAAAAGAAGGATAATACCATAGGATAATTTGTACTTTTAATATGTGATAGCGTAAGTGAATATTATCGTCTTATTGTCAGTGAAAAAAGAATTATATTACCTAGATATTACTTTTATCGACTAACGACATCATTCTTTGCTTCGTGTGGAAAATGTTCTATTTCGTTCGTACCATGTACATATTTGTACAAAAAGATTCATAGGATTTCGCGTTTAAGAGGATACATGAACTTATAAATATATTTGAATTTATTGCTATGTATACAGAATGTTTCATGAATTTATTTATTTACTTTGGAGAAAAGCAGAATTAAATTGACTTTCTTATATTTACGAAAAAAAAAAATACAAAACATCATAATATAACTCAATAATTAAGTATATCTGAAATTCATAAAGTAACTGAACAACTTACGTAGATTTTTTTTCGAAGAAAATAATATTTTTCATTGAAAAAATGGCACTGTTTAACTAAATATAGCAAACCAATACTGGGTCGTTTTATAAGAAGAAATGTAGATATAATTATGAATTAAATGTCAGTTTAATAGCAATATCATTTTCTTTACGAGACACGGTTATTATTAACGGTATCATGCAATGAAGATGAACTCGGAAATTTCAACTTACCGGTGTTGGCTAGTTGCACGTTCCAAGGTCACTTGTTTTATCCTTCTTGTACTCTTCTCGTAGAATACTCTACCAACACTCTTTCTATGTCCTTGTTCTACTCGTTTCTTGATTACTCAGCATGCTTGCTTCTCTCTTTCACGTACTTCACGTATGCTGTCATCATTGACCGTTTAAACTAGTCGACTTTCGTCCATACTCAACTTTCTCTCTCTCATTCGTATGAAAAAAAAGAATAGAGTGAATACAATAGAGTTGAAAAATAACTTGTAGTAGTAGTATTACTATTACTACTACTACTCGTGACGAAGTAATGGCGATGATAACTACTTCTGAGAGATTCACTCACACTTACAACATATTTACCTAGCGATAAAAAAAATAACACATTCGTGTAACTCGCGAAAAAGATGGGATACGTTTAGCATGAATTCACGCGTACATATCAATGAATTATTAATAAATATTATAAGAAATGATTTCAATACAGAATAAGTATTATTAAGATTTTATTATTATCATTATTATTATTATTACCATTTAATACTATACTACGATTAAGATTAGAAAAAAAAGTTTAATTAGGTGAATACTTTATTTATTCTTTAAACGAACTACAATTTTACTCGAAATAGTCATTCGTCCTTTACAATACTCAATTAATTGTATAAGTTTCAAATGGAAATTCCGTGGAAAAGCTCTTTGGTGAATTTTCAACGGTGATTACACGGCCGATAAGTTAGCGAAAGGGCGGTTAGCCCAGAAGAGAATTCTCTAGACGAGATCGTGTTGAAAGGCTCAGGCACGCTGTATGAAAGTCGAAAATAGAAACGCGAAAGTTAAACTCTATTTGACGATAAAGAAACGAACCGTGTAATGAGAGTGTCTACTACATTACTTATTTAATGCTAGAGAGAAGATCGTACATTTTGTTCCTTATTACTTTCATTCTACTATTACTTACCTACTTATTTACTTACTTCGCTTATTGTCTTGGAGAAATTCTCTTATTTGTATTATAAGCTCTTGTTTTTTTTTAATTTTGTCTCATAAAATTTAATGAATTACATTTAAAAAAAGAAAAAAGAAAAGGACTACAAATTCTTGAAATGCAATATTTTTCGATTAGAAATTTTTGGAATAAAAACACTAGAACAAATTTTTTTTTATTACTTGTCTAATTATTTACATTCTATTCTTATTTTTTTCGAAATTCTATTATTTGCCTTTTCACTTTTCCTACTGTGTTGTCTCAAAAAAAAAAAATTGATTGATCGCAATGCAATGAGTTTCAAGCTTTAAAATAAAATAAGGGAATAATATTTGTAATAATTTTGATTTGATCTTTATCGAAAAAATCTATTTTACAAAAAAAAAAAAAAGAAAAAACATCTAGCTTGAAATTGTCAGAGTACAAACTCTGGAGTCGAGTAAATTTATCAAGTGAAATATAAAATTTACATACGTTACTTTCGACGAGGATGAAATGAAATTAAATTTGGGTTTTACGTCGCACATGTTCTCGACAGATTTCCCAACGAACATATGTACATACTGCTATCGTACTTCCGTGCTACGCATAAATATCGCGTATTATTTAATCGCATTTATTTTTTTCATTTCACTTTTGCACCTCAGTCGGGAGAAAAACCGATTAAACGGAAAAGATCAGCAAGCAGTTTCAAATTACTTTTTTCTTCGATTTTTTATTTCTTCATTTATCTTCTCTCTCTCTCTTTTTTTTTTTAATTTTTCTCAACGATCTAAAACGGGGGAGGAATCACGAATCGAGCAGAGGGTCTAACGGTAAAATAATAAAGAGCAAAGGCAGGCAAGACGATAAGCGACCGCAGGAACGAAAAGCCGTCGGTCGAAAAAAATTGGACCAATTACGTGCACCTGCCGTCGCGATAAATCGTTTTACGCGTTCCCGACCGTTTGATGTCTTAAGTTCTTAAGTTTTACGTTCTTTCTGGTCCTTTTCTTCATCTGCTTCATCTTATTCGTCTTTCTTCCATTTCTGTTACAAAGAGAGCATTATTGCGGATCCCAACGGACCTTCGAGTAAAACCAAGAAGAAATTAAATCGAAAACCATATACGACTATTATCTAATTATATGGATGTGTATAAATTATTTTTTATTATTCAAAAAAACAAGAAAAGAAATAATAGTAATAATAATAATAATAACAATGATAATAATAGTAATAATATAAACGAAGTTTATGCATCTTAATATCCAAAGATAATAATATTTTAGCGATCCTGTTAAATCGAGAGTTTAATCGAGCTAAGAGAATATACGCATGCGTATAAAGCGAAAGAAAGAGAAAGAGTGGGGGAGGAGAGAGAAAGAGCAAGTAGATTGGGGTGGCAAAAGAGCAAAGGAACTGCAAATAGAGTGTAGCAGGGATAATTGCTCTCGTGATGTCATGGCATTTATCAAATCCACTCTCCCTCTTCTCAGACTTCTCAGACCAGCCTCGACAAGGAGAAACTACAACGAGACTTTCCCTTTGCTACATTTGCACTACCACTCTATCACAACCCTTAACGATAAGGATGATAATTCGTTGCGTTTTTTTTTCTTTTTTTTATGCTTTTCTTTCCCCTTTTTTTTTATTGGTCTCATATTTTTTGTATCATCTGTAAATTGATTTTTTATTTATTTTGTGAATATATAATTGTATATTCATTTAATTGATGTTATACATATAAATCACGAGCTTAAGTAGAAATGAAATGTTGATACGTAGAAAGTAATATTTCAATTTTGTTTGGAAGATTTTTACTAAGAAGAGAGTATTACGCCTATTGGTTGGCATGACTTATACCTTTCAAGACGTTCCAACAGGGAGTGGTTGGTTCTATGTCGATCGGACGTACTGATTGTGTCAACGCAATCAACCTTGCGGGAACTTTATTAAATTAAACCTTCGTCACGCCTTCGCATTACGATTCTCTCTCTCTCTCTCCCTTTCTCTTTTATCATTTACCAATGCGAGTTGGCACATTAATGCTTTATTATCAAACGGTCATCATATCGAAGAAACGTTTCTGTAGTAAAATCAATTGAGTTTCGTTTAGAAATAACTTTGAAAAACTTTCGTGATAATTAAAATAGATAAACAATTCAATTTGAAACACTCGATACGAAAATGTAATAGATAGAGTATACAATTTCAAGGATTATCGATGAGTATCCTTTTACTTTGAGATTTTGATTTTCACGCCTGTATAAATTCAAATAAGAGAGAGAGAAAGAGAGAAAGAGAGAGAGAGAGAGAGAAAATATACAAAATATAAAGAAAAAGAAAATCAATGGAAATGATAGCATATGTTGTTTGTTTTATAGGAAAGGAATATTTGTCATGTGTAATCAAGACGGAAAAAAAATCTCAAAACGGAATACCGAATGACGTATTTAATCGGTGCAACGATCATCGATCGCAACACGGCAAAAGAATTTGCTTCGACTCCGGTGCCAGATAACGAAATGAAGCTCGTTACAGTCATATTTCGCTATTAATTGTGTTAACTTAAAACGCGTTGTAATTTCGTTTCCTCCCCGAATGTGCCTCGTGTCGGCGTAATTGTGTTATCACGGCTTCGAACTTGCCTGTGCTATATTTCACTTGTAAAATGCCTTTGATGCTAACGTTTCTCACCGTCGAACTATCTCTCTCTATTAAAAAAAAAAAATTGTTTTGTTATGAATATACAACAGTATGCGTAGATAGATATGCGTGTGGACGCGTTTTTTACAAATTTTGTAAAAAAAAAATCTAATTTTGATTTTTCCACGAATGAGATAATATAATAATAAAAAAAAAGAAAATAGGTATTTCGAGCTGCTTTGATGACACTATATTAATTTCGTATCTTTTACGATGTATTCTAAAAATGAAACYAAAAGCCTCTCTCTCTCTCTCTTTTCTAGTTTCTTGAAACACATATGTTGAGAAAGAAAAAAAAAGAGGGATGCATAGTTGAACGTCTCTCATGTAAAAGTCGAGAGCACTGCGAATGCCTCTTTTGAGCGCAATAATTCGACAAATTGATATTTCTTTGAAAGCAAGCTACCACGGAGAAAAAAGATAAAAATAAATGGGTGAAAGGTTACCAAGCGAGCAGTAGCTTTCTAGCTTGCTTGCTTGCTCGCTGGCTGGCTGGCTGGTTGGCTGACTGGTTGGCTGACTGGCTGACTGGTTGGCTGACTGGCTGGCTGGTT